GTAATATTCTGTTGCATTTATATACCACATCTTGTTTATCCTTGCATCTGTTGTTGGACATTTGTGTTGTTTCTACCTTTTGGCATTGTAAATAGTGCTGCTATGAACATGAGTGTACCAGTGTTTATTGAAGTGGCTGTTTTCAATTCTTTTAGATATATACTTGGGAGTAGAGTAGCTGGGTCATGTATAATTCTGTATTTAACTTTTTGAGAAATTGTCAGTGTTTTTCCACACTGGTGGAACACTTAGTCTTTTTAACATCAGTGCATCAGGGTTCTGATTTCTCCACATTCTTGTATTTATTGTATGTATTTCTTTGTCTTGTATTTATTGTGTCTATGTGTGTGTGTGTATGTGTTTTAGCCACCCTGGTGGTTATGAAGTAACCACCCTCCATTTTTTTGATGAAATGTGTCTTTAAGTTTTTCCCTCATTTTTAAATTAGGTTTTTTGTCTTTGTTGTTGTTGTTGAATTTTAGGAGTTCTTCACATAGTCAGGGTATCATTAGACCTTTATCGGATATATGATTTGTAAAAATTTTTTTTCTATTCTGTAGGTTGATTTCTCAGTTTCTCTGTACACATTTGTCATGCAGCCAGTGCTACCATGTCTTTTCATCTTGCAAAACCTAAATTCTACCTTTTAAATTTTTTTAAAGCTTTTATTTATTTATTTGAGAGGCAGTTACAGACAGAGAGAGGGAGAAACAGAGACAGAGGTCTTCCATCTGTTGTTTCACTCCCCAAATGGCTGCAATGGCTGGAGCAAGGCTGATCCAAGGCCATGAACCAGGAGCTTCTTCTGGGTCTCCCACCTGGGTGCAGGAGCCCAAGATCTTTCACTGCTTTCCCAGGTGCATTAGCAGAGAATTGCATCAGAAGAGGAGCAGCAGGGACATGGGTGCTGGTGCTGCAGTGCCAGCCCCTACCTTTTAAATTTAAAAGTTATTTATTTTCATTTTATTTGAAAGACAAAGACAGAGCTCTTCCTTCTTCTGGCTCACCCGGCAATGATCACAGCAGCCAGGACTGCTCCAGGCGGAAGCCAGGAACCCAAAACTCAGTGTGGATTTTTCTTAGGTGGAAAGGGACCCAAGTACTTGAGCCTTCACCTGCTGCCTCCTAGGGTGCCCATAGCAGGAAGCTGAAACTGGGAGTTGGGACTTGAATACAGGCACTCTGGTATGACATCTGAGCATCTTAACTGGTGTGACAAATGCCGACCCTGAAATTTTACCTTTTAAATAACAATTCTTCTTTCTCCCCTCCCCTTGGGCCTTGTCAGTTACTCTTCTACTTTGTTTCTGTGAATTTGACTAGTCTAGGTACCTGGTATAAGTGGAATCATACAGTATTTGTCCTTTGGTTTATTTCACTTAACGTAATGTCTTCAAGGTTTATCTGTGTTACAGCATGTGCCAGAAATTCCTTTTTGAAGACTGAATGCTATTCTATTGTATAAACATACCACATTTTGGTTCATTCATTCATTTGTCTGTGAACTCATGCATTGGTCTATCCCTGAGATATTGTAAATACTGCTACTTCAAACATGAGTGTACAAATACCTCTTTGAGAACTAGCTTTTTATTCTTTTGCATATATACCCAGCTATAGATCCCAAGTTATACTAGCTTTGCTAGTATTTTATTGATGATTATATATCTATATTTATATCTATATTTATAAAGGATATTGGTTTTAGCTTTCTTGTGTGTGTGTGTGTTTTGCTAGTTGTGGTGTCAGGGTAGTACTGGACTCAGAATGAGTTATGAAGTGCTTCCTTCTTTTTTTGTTTCATTTGAAGACTTTGAGAAGAATGTTTTGGTTTTTCTTTTATATGATTAGTAGAATTCACCAGTTAAATATTCTGATTCTGGGCCTTTTTTTTTTTTTTTTTTTTTTTTGCTAGCAGTCTTATGATTACTGATTTAATCTCTGTTGCTGTTACAGATCTATTCAGATTTTTCCATTTCTTCCCTTTTCAGTAGTTTGTGTGTTCCTAGGAATTTCCATTTGATCTAGGTTATCTGATTTGTTGAAATATAATTCTTCACAGTTTTCTTTGATTATCCTTTTTATTTCTGTAAGGTTATTGACAGTGTTTCCACTTCTGTTCCTGATTTTGGTGATTTGAGTTTTCTTTGTTTTTTTTCCCCTTGGTCAGTTTAACTTAAGATTTGTCAATGTTGTTGATCTTTCAAAAGAACCAACTTTTGTTTTTGTTGATTTTTCTCTATTTTTAAAATTTTTTATTCTGTAGATCTAATCTTTCTTTATCCTCCCTTCCTCTTTATTTTGGAATTGGTTTCTTCTTTTTCTGGTTCCTAAAGGAACTTCTTTTTTTATGTGTTTATAACTATAAATTTTCCTCTGAGCATTGCATCCCTTAAGTTTTGATGTGATGTGTTTTCATTGCATTCATATCATTCGTAAGTCACCTTGAGATTTGTTCTTTGATTTACTGATTATTGAGAGTGTGTTATTTACTTAGTACATTTGTGAATTTTCCAAATTTCTTTCTGTTACTGATTTCTAGTTTTATTTCATTACACTCTGAGAAGGTACTTTGTATGGTTTTTGATTTTATAAAAGGTATTCTTTTGTAAATAGACATCTGTCCGAAGGTGGAGAATATCCCAGCACTAATTGTGCTTTACATAATTGCAGGCAGGTTGTTGACATCTCTGGTTATTTTCCCCTTCAACTTTGTCAGTTTTTGTTTCATATGTATTTTGTTACAGGTTGTTATTTGCATATGCTTATACCTTCTTGACTCCTGTTAGTTATAGAATGTCCTCCTTTGTCTTATAAGAACTTTTGTTTTAAAGTCTGTTTGTGTGATACTAGGATAGCTAGATCAGCTCTCTTTCGATGATTGATGACATGAAATACAATTTTCCAGGCCTGACACTGTGGCTTAGTAAGCTGAGCCTTTGAATGTGGCCCAGGAATCCCATATGGGCTCTGGTTCATGTTCCGGCTGCTCCTCTTGGTGTTATTTCTTCCTTAAATATGATAGAATTAATCAACATTTTGCATGCAAATTCTTTGTCGTTCTTGTTTTAAGATTTGTTTGGGGGCCTGTACTGTGGCATGACTAGTAAAGCCACCGCCTATGGTGTCTAGCATCCCATTTGGGTGCTGGTTCGAGTCCTGACTGCTCCATTTCAATCCAGCTCTCTACTATGGCCAGGGAAAGCAGCAGAAGATGGCTCAAGTCCTTGGGCCCCTGCACCCACGTGGGAGACCTAGAAGAAGCTTCTGGTTCCTGATCGGCCCAGCTCCAGCTGCTGAGGCCATCTGGGGGAGTGAACCAGTATATGGAAGATTTCTCTCTCTGCCTCTGTCTCTGTTCTTTTTATGAGAGGATTTTCAATGACTTACTCATTAAAGTAGATCCTACAGGGCTGTTCAACTATTGTTGTTTTCCTGGTGTGTCAGTTTTGACAATTTGAATATTTTTAAGGAATTGTCTAATTTATATTGTCAAATTTATTAGCATAAAATTGTTTATGGTATTCTAGTATCATTTTAATGTTTTTAGTAAAGTGACTTTTAAAAATGCTTATACTGGCATTATAAATACAGATACTTAATGTGGTACTTATTATATACCTTTCATTTTACAAATATTAAGTATTTCAATTGCCACAATAATTTTTGAGGTAGATACTATTAACATCTCCACATTACCAATGAAAAAAACCAAAGTTAAACTCAGAGAGTTTAGGTGCCTTGCTTAAAATTACAGAAATGTTATGTTAAGGACTTGAATTGAAATCCTGATGGGCTGGGTCCAGTCTTTTTTCCTTATCTAATATTTTCTTTTAAAGATTTATTTATTTATTTGGAAAGCAGAGTTACAGAGAGACAGAGGCAGAGGCAGAGAGAGAGACAGAGGTCTTCCATCCACTGGTTCACTCCCCAAATGGCTGCAACAGCCAGAGCTGGGCTGATTTGAAGCCAGGATCCAGGAGCGTCTTCTGGGTCTTCCACCTGAGTGCAGGGGCCCAAGCACTTGGGCCATCCTCCACTGCTTTCCCAGGTGCATTTAGTAGGGAGCTGGATTGGAAGTGGAGCAGCCAGGTCTCGAACCGATACCCTTATGGGATGCTGGCACTGCAGGCAGTGGTTTTACCTGCTTCGCCACAGTGCTGGATTCCCTTATCTGCTATTTACTTCATTTTTCTTAAAGATGGCAGAAACCCCTCTTCCGTTCTTCTTGTAGAATGATGCTGTCTTTTCTTTAGAAACTATCATTACTCCTTTGTATCACTGAGTGGAAATGTTTGTTTCTTATATTCCTAATTAGAACTTGGAATGCATTTTTCCCACAAAAACTACATATGATGGCTAGGCATATTTGAAAATATTACTGTTAATACTCTTTAAAAATTTTTTTAAAGATTTTGTTTATTTGAGAGGCAAAGTTACAAAGAGAGAGAGAAGGAGAAAGGTCTTCCATTTGCTGGTTCACTTCCCAAATGGCCACAAAGGGCAAGCTGAGCTGATCCAAAGCCAGGAGCCAGGAGATTCTTCAGGGTCTCCCGCGAGGGTGCAGGGGCCCAAGGACTTGGGCCATCTACTGCTTTCCCTGGCCATTAGCAGAGAGCTGGATCTGAAGAGGAGCAGCCGGGACATGAATCGGCGCCTGTAAGGGGTGGTGGTGCCGCAGGTGGAGGCTTAGTCTATAATGCCACAGCACCAGCCCGTTAATACTCTTCTTGAGTCATGTAATATGTTAAAAAGATTTCTGGAGCTCCTTTGGGAAGTTCACTGGAGTTTACAATGAGAAACATTGTTTCTGTAGGAAAAAGAAGACAATTTAAACCTTGCCTGAAAGAGTAGACTTCAGCCATGTAGGAATTAACTCATAGAAATCTCTAAAATTTCAAATTGTTTATTGTAAATTTTTCTTTTTAAATAAAATAAGTGTGATTAATTTGTGCACAGATTTGTTAGTGTTGGTTAATTTTTTGATAACCATCTTTCAGGGTCACTCAAGTGCTCAGAAGAGTAACCTTCAGGTGGATCAGAACTGCGTTCGCAATTCTTACGACGTCTTCTCTTTGCTACGGTAAGAAACTTCCTGGAGTCCTCCTGAATTCTAAAGACTCTGCCTTATTTTGAGTTTGTGACATATCTACTGTGAGGAGGTGTGCAGGAGCTTTTGAAGCTATTACTCAGGCTTGGCATTTTTAAGTGAAGGCTTCATGGGCTACAGTGATTTAAGTTTATCTGGTTCACAAAGCCTTTGGAAATTCATTTCCTTTTTCTGGACTGGGGGAGGGTGGTTAAAGCCGGTGATCTTGAAGCAGGCAAGTGATCTGTTTTCTGACATCCTGCACGCTAGAGAGCAGCACTCAGAGGTGTACAATTTAGACACACTGAAGCCTTAACAGCTGCAGTATCATCAGAACAGCCCCTGGCAGCCCCAGCCAGGGCTTAGGGCTTTGACCTGCTGGTCCTCTTGAAGGAATCATGTTTGGCAAACCAAAGGGGCTTTGTATGAATCTAATGCTTAGAGGCCTAAATGTCTCAGCTCTGTATTTTCATAATGTCTGGGCTTAATTTTGAAAGATTTTGAAATTTGGCTTTAATTTCAGATGTGGTAGATCATCAAGGAAATTTTCCCAAGGGGCAAGCTACCAAAATAAATGCAATTCAGAATAAAGTTAACAGTGACATTCAACCTGTGTTCACCCTACTCAGACTGAGATTGTTCATTGAAATTTGATTTTGGCAGGATTTTTCTAATGTTGACATAACACATCATAAATTTCAGACTGTCAGACATGCTCTATATATCTACCAGAGGAAGAGCCCAGAAGGACGACTGGAGAAGTGGTTATTTTATAAGCACTATAAGATTGGCCTTTCATTTTTAAATGCTGACTCTTGTACATGATGCTGTAGTCTCATGGACTGTGTAAATTACTCTGAAGTAACAACGATTTTGACTACAGTAGAGAAAAAAAAAGCACTTATGTTTGATGGCTTGAGTCTTATCTGAGAGATGCCTTCATCTTGACTGCTGGGAACAGGGGTGGGGAGCTTTTTTTGTGCCAAGGAACCATTTGGATTTTTATAACGTGATTTGAAGGCCATACAAAATTATCAGCTTAAAAATTAGCCTGCTATAGATTTATTGAATTTCAAGTCCCAACTGTGGTTGCCTTGGCAGGGCCAGAACAAATGATTTTGTGGGCCTTATAGGGCCTGCAGGCCAGATATTCCCCACCCCTGGCTTAGAATATGTAACAGAACAGACAGGGCTTAGTAATTAGAGTAGAAATAGAAAGTGGGGGCTGTCAAAGTAGATACAAATTTTTTAAAAAGATTTATTTATTTGAAAGAGAGAGACACACACACACACACACAGAGAGAGAGAGAGAGAGAGAGAGAGAGAGAGAGAAGTCTTCCATCCTTGGTTCACTCCCCATTTGGCTGCAATGGCCGGAGCTGCGCCAATCTGAAGTCAGGAGCCAGGAGCTTTTTCCGGGTCTCCAAATGGGTTCAGGGGCCCAAGGACTTGGGCCATCTTCTACTGCTTTCCCAGGCCATAGCAGAGAGCTGGATTGGAAATGGAGCAGCCGGGACTTGAACTGGCGCCCATATGGGATGCCGGCACTGTAGGTGGCGGCTTTACCCTCTATGCCACAGTGCTGGCCTCCAGATACAAATATTTGAACCTATTGAGTTTGGGATACATTGAGTTTATTTTATTTCTTTTTAAAGATTTATTTATTTATTTGAAAGGCAGAGTTAAAGAGAGGGAGGGAGGAAGGGGAGGGGAGGGGAGGAAAGAAGGAAGGAAGGAGAAACAGAGAGAGAGAGAGAGAGAGAGAGAGAGAGAGAGAGAGAGTCTCAGTCTTCCATCTGCTGGTTCACCCCTGAGATGGCCACAACGACTGGAGCTGTGCTGATCCGAAGCCAGGAGCCAGGAGCTTCTTCCAGGTCTCCCAAGTGGGTGCAGGGGCTCAAGGACTTAAGCCATCTTCCACCGCTTTCCCAGGCTATAGCAGGAGCTGGATCGAAAGATGCTGGCACTGCAGGTGGTGGCTTTACTGCTGTGTCCCAGTGCTGGCCCACACATTGAGTTTTAAGCAATAAAAAAACAATGTCTAGAAATAGTTTTAAATTTTAATAAGCCACTAATGTTTCTTGACCTCTGTTCCCTTCTGTAAAATGAATATATGGGTACAGTTATTTTAAAGATATTTTCTAAGTGAGATTATGTGATGTTATTAGTAAAAGCAATAGAAGTGAAAGAAAAACTACCAAGTTAGGAAAGGATTTGGAAGGATAGTGTAGCATTTTAGAAGCTAAAAAGAGAATGGTTTCAGCTGGTGCCACGGCTCAATAGGATAATCCTCTGCCTGCGGCACCAGCATACCGGGTTCTAGTCCCAGTCAGGGCGCCGGATTCTTTCCCTGTTGCTCCTCTTCCAGTCCAGCTCTCTGCTGTGGCCCAGGAGTGCAGTGGAGGATGGCCCAAGTGCTTGGGCCTTGCACCTGCATGGGAGACCAGAAGAAGCACCTGGCTCCTGGCTTTGGATCAGCGCGGTGCGCCGGCCACAGTGCTCCAGCCGCAGCGGCCATTGGAGGGTGAACCAACGGCAAAAGGAAGACCTTTCTCTCTGTCTCTCTCTCACTGTCCACTCTGCCTGTCACAAAATAAATAAATAAAGAAAGAAAGAAAGAAAGAAAGAAAGAATGGTTTCAAGGAATTTTGAAAGCTTTGTGATAAAATAAGACCACAAGAATCGAAGGAAGACTGTTGGATCTTGTGGAGCAATGTGGTGCGCTAGAGAATGTTTTGATTAACATGGTGAGCTGCCTTTAATTATCTCAGATTTATCCTAATTATTTTAACTTCTCTAATTCTTCTAAAAGGTGAAAGCAGTGATGTTACATATTTGTGTAATTTAGACTTCACTAAACAAGTATGCATCTTCTGCTCTAGTAAATACTCCACTGTTCCCATGGTTTTTGCCATAGAAGTGTTTTTTAGGAAGCTTAGTTTGTGCCTGTCACTTTAAACTGTTCGTTGTTTCCTCTCTCTCTCTCTTTTTTAAGGATTTATTTATATATTTGAAAAGTCAGAGTTACAGCAAGAGAGGGGGAGACAGAGATGAGAGAGAGAGAGAGAGAGAGAGAGAGAGAGAGAGAGAGAGAGAGGGAGGTCTTCCATCCGCTGGTTCACTCCCCAAATAGCTGCACTGGGATGCCAGAGCTGCAGATGGCAGCTGTCCTGCTGTGCCGCAGTGCTGGCCCTGGTCCTTCCTCTCTAACTCAGGCAGCATTGCCCACAGATGGAGACACTGAAGAAAATATTCCACTTCTTTTTCCCGTGTTTTCTTGGTCTGTTAAATAGGAGCCATTTTATTTGTTTGTTTGTTTGTTTTTGACAGAGTGGACAGTGAGAGAGAGACAGAGAGAAAGGTCTTCCTTTTCCATTGGTTCATCCCCCAATGGCTGCTGCAGCTGGTGCACCGCGCTGATCCGAAGCCAGGAGCCAGGTGCTTCTCCTGGTCTCCCATGTGGGTGCAGGGCCCAAGCACTTGGGCCATCCTCCACTGCATTCCCGGGCCACAGCAGAGGGCTGGACTGGAAGAGGGGCAATCGGGACAGAATCCGGTGCCCCGACCAGGACTAGAACCCGGTGTGCTGGCGCCACAGGTGGAGGATTAGTCTAGCAAGCCCCTGTGCCAGCCTTGATTTGTAATATTACATGAAAACACAGAGTCTGGTATCATTGAACTGTATAAAGTTTTCAGTGTTGTAAGGAATCAGGATTAGAACCCAGGTTTTCTGCTTCTGTTTGTTGAGAGTGTGTTCTAGTTAAGAACCTTCACTATACTGCTGTACCACTACTGTGCATGTGTTCTCTCTCTCTTTTTAAAGATTTATTTTATTTATTTGAAAGTCACAGTTACAGAGAGAGAGGTCTTCCATCTGATGGTTCACGTCCCAAATGGCCACAATGGCCGAAGCTATGCTGACCCGAAGCCAGGAGCCAGGAGCTTCCTCCAGGTCTCCCATGTGGGTGAGAGGCCTAAGGACTTGGGCCATCCTGTACTGCTTTCCCAGGCTATAGCAGAGAGCTGGATTGGAAGAGGAGCAGCCAGGGCATGAACCGGTGCCCATATGGCATGCCGGCACTTCAGGCCAGGGCTTTAACCCGCTGCACCACAGTGTCAGCCCCATGTGTTCTCTCTTGACTTGTTTCCATGTGACTGTCACAGAGAAATAGAAAAAATTTTTTTTATGATTTTTATTTATCTATTTGTGAGGCAGAATTACAGACAGAGGAAGGGAGAGATAGAGAGAGGTCTTCCATTCCCTGGTTCACTCTCCAAACGGCTGCAACAGTGGAGCCATGCTCATTTGAAGCCAGGAGTCAGTTTTCTTCTGGGTCTCCCACATGGGTGCATGGACCCAGCACTTGGGCCTTTTTCCACTGCTTTCCCAAGAGTATTAGCAGGTGCTGGTATCTCAGGGGACAGCTTTACCTGACATGCTGGCCCCTAGAGGTTTATTTTCAGGTAAACAGACTTTTGATTACAGGTTACTTTGTTATTTTTGATCCTTTAGGATGTTCACCACAAGGTGTCAATGTTGTTCTTTAACTGACATTTGAAATTCCATTCATCTTTTTTATTGTGGGGTGACAGAAGTAGAGCACTTCAATAGAATATAAAGTGCTTATGTCATTTTAGAAGTTAACTTTTAAATGTTTTTTTATTCTTTCTAGATTGAAGAATATAAGCTTTTTAGATAGTTTTCTCTTTCTGGTTCTTTTTTACATTTAAAAAAATCTTGTTGGTGATAAGGAGCTATTGAAAGATTACAAAGAGAGGAATGACATGGTCGAGTTGGCAATTTAGAGTTGTAACCAGGGTGAACCTGAGGGGCGAGACTGGGAGCCCAGGGTCATCTCTAGCCCTGCCTGTTCTCTGAGATGGAGAGATTATTTTTGTATTAAAAAGATTATTCTTTTTCTTCTTATACTCCCTAAAAGCAGTAGCTCTATTATAGTGGTTTTCTTCTAGTATAGTTTTTCCCCTCTTTCTCT